GTGGAGCAGTGGGTTAAGCAACTGCCTGAGATGCCTGCATCCCATATCAAAGCACTGATTCAAGCCCCAGCTACTCCACTTTCAATCCAGCTCCCAGCTAATGAGCCTGGAAAAGCAGAAGATGGCTCAAGTCTTGGGCCCCTGCACTCATGCGGGAGATCTGGAAGAAGCTCCTGGCTTCTGGCTTGGGCCTGGCCCAGCCCCAGGCTGTTGTGGCCATTTAAGAGATGAACCAGCAGAAGGAAAATATTTGCTTTTGTCTCTCCCTTTCTCTCTGTAACTTGGACTTTCAAATAATTTTTTTTAAAGATCTATTTATTTGAAAGGCAGAGTTAGAGAGAAAGATAAGAGAAGGAAAGACAGAGAGAGATCTTCCATCTGTTGGCTTACGCAACGACCAGGGCTGGGCCAGGCCAAAGCCAGGAGCTTCTTCTGGGTCTCCCATGTGGTTCAGGGGCCCAAGGACTTGGGCCATCCTGCACTGCCTTCCCAGGCATGTTGGCAGGGAGCTGAATTGAAAGTGGAGCAGCTGGGACCAGAACTGGTGCCCATATGGGATACCAGCACTGCAGGCTGTGACTTTAACCAGCTGCACCACAGCGCCGGCCCCTAAATAAATAAATCTTAAAAAAAAATTAAGGTGGTGATATCACAGGTCTACCCACTGTCTATCTTATTTTAAAGGTGTATTTCAAAGTTGCATATATTAAATACATGACTTCTTAATACTTTAGCATGCATATCATTAACTGCAGTTCAATATTTGCTTAAGTAAAATTATTTCTCAAGGTAATATCTATATATGGTGAAATGGTTGAATAAGATGAACTTTGACATATGTAAATACCCATGTAACCCAAACTCCGAAAAAGGTAAAACAAAAAAATGACCACACCCCTGAAATTTCCCTCAGCACCACCCCCTCCAGTGAATCTCCACTCCCACCCCAGTTAAGAATTACTCTGGTTTTTATACATTTATTTTGCCTGTAATAAAATGCCTGAAACTTTTAATAACAACACAGAAGAGAAAAAACATCTTCTCAAATACTATGAAATTAAAAACTGCTAGAACCTTTTTAGAAAGTACTCTGGCAACATGTAATCATTAAAATAGAATATATGCATTCCTTTAGACCTAGTCATTTCAATCGGAGCAATTTTCTGAGAAGTGTACTAGCTCGTGAATGCAGAGGCGGGTCACAGCACTGCTCACTGGATCATTGTTCATGATAATTAAGAATTGGAAATAACCCGAATGGCTATCAGTAGGGGAAGTTTAAGTAAATACACAGTCATGTTTTGCTGCAACTACAAGGAATGATTTATTGCTATGGCAAGACCTTTCAGACAATCACTAAATGAAAGCAAGTTAGTGGACACTACAGCATAAAACGTGTACATAAAACACCACAAAAGCAAAATAAAGTACTGAGCACAAACACACAAGGTATATTTGTTAAGCCACACATGACACTGACATCAGTGGCTACCTCTAGAGATTAAGGAAAAGGGCTTCCCTTGATTGTATGGTTTTGAGTTGTTAAAATAATAATATCTGTCTGACTTACACTATTTTTATTTTATTATTTTAAGATCACAGATTGGGGCCTGTGTTGTGATGTAGCTAGTAAAGCCACCGCCTGCTATGCCAACATCCTACATGGGTGCTGATTGAAGTCCCAGCTGTTCTACTTCTGATGCAACTCCCTGCTAATGTGCCTGGGAAAGCAGCTGAAGATGGCCCAAGTGCTTCAGCCCAAGTGCTTGGGCCCCTGCACCCATGTGGGAGAGCTGGACGAAATTCCTAGCTCCTGGCTTTGGACTGGCCCAGCACCAGCTGTTGCAGACTTTTGGGGAGTGAAACAGAACATGAAGACCTTTCTCTCTGTAACTCTCTCAAATAAAATAAGCATTGTGGCATAGTGGGTAAAGTGACCATCTGTGACACTGGAATACCATATGGGTGCAGGTTCAAGTCCTGCTTGGGCCCCTTCACCCATGTGGGAGACCCAGAAGTTCTGAGCTCCTGGCTTTGGTTTGACCCAGTCCTGGCCTTTGTGGGGAGTGAGCCAGTGGATTGAAGATCTCTCTCTGTAACTATGCCTTTCAAATAAGTAAATATTAAAAAAAAAAAGACCACAGACGTAAATAAGGGATAGAGAACAGCCTTCCTCCAGATTATGTATTAACACACACTCTCTCCAATTTCCTCATTAATGCATAATGTATTATTTTCTGCCACTCACATTAATGTTTTTAAATGTGCTTGTATGATCACAGAGTAAGTATGCAATTCTAAATGAGAAACGGAAGCCATCCACATCACATTTAAGGAGACCTCATGTGTTTTAGTTTGTTTGGGCTAACACAACACCATGTCACAGACTGGGTGTGTATCAACACAAATGCTGTTTCTCACAGTCTGGACGCTGGGAAGTCCCAGACTGAGGCAACCAGCAAAATCAGGGTGTGGTGAGGGCCCGCTTGCTGGTTCATGGATGGCTGCCTCTTGTGTCTTTACAGTGCTAGAAGGGGTGAAGCAGTCTCTGGGTCTCTTTTTTGAGAACTCTAATCTCAGTCAAAGGGGCTCTGCCCTATGTTAATCACCCTCCAAACACCACATTTGGAAAAAGGGTTCAACATTTGAATCTGGAGGAGAGACAATGAAACAGTCAATTTCATTTCTTTTAAAGCTTTTACCTCTGTGAAATGAGGAAGAATGAAAATATCTGGAAAACTTGAGTATAAATGCAGAGGCTAAAGTTCAATGGGACTTTAAGAAAAGTGGGGATTCACCCTAGGCTACAATGACCACATAGAGAAGTTTGCCTAATAAGTTGTAAAGTATCTTCAGATCCTGAGTCCCTTGCTTAGCAAATGTTTATTAAACACCTACTATGTATCAAGGGTTAGAAGATGCGTTCTACATATCTCTTGGCTTCAAGGAACTTCTGGTGCTAGTGGCAAAGCTGAGGGTACTTCAAAAAGTTCATGGGAAACAGAATTAAGAGATTCGTTTATTTTGGTGCAAAATTTTTTTTGAAATCCACGCATGTGCCTATGTATGAACAAAAACATTACAGAGCTACAGTAACAGCGTGGAAAACCCATCAAAGCTCATACTCAAAGTGTGGCCTGGGTAAGAGCAGCATCTGCAGCTCCCGGGAGCACCTGAGGAGCCCAAGCCTAGGTGACTCTGGCATTTACTAAAATTTGAGAGGTGATAAGCTGTGAGGAGGAGGAACCACTAGGATTGCCTACAGTCTAGAGGGGTGACGGGAATATTCTAGGCTGAGAAGCGAGCAGGCCCAAGATCATGAATGACATCAGTAAGAACAAGAAGCCTTCTGGAATGAGAAGTTCGGCCCAGGATAAACAGTAGGCGCTTGGGCAGACAGGGCAGGAAAGGTAGGCTGGAGGCAAAGGGCCCAGGCTGGCTTGCTGAGGAAGCCACAGCGAATCTTCAGCAGGAAAATCACCCGATCATTTTGTTATGCTTGGACACAACTCGGGACTGAAATGCAAAGGCGAGAGGCTGGAGCAGGCGGACACGTGTCCTTAAACGAACAGGATTCAACTGTGGAGGAGAAAGGAGTCGGAGGGAGGCCGGGGCCACCCAGTCCTAAGCAGACCGAAAAACTAAGGATTTCAGCCGCAGCTCCACACCGGTGGGCTCTCCCTCAGTAGCCGCGGAGTTCTCCAAACAGCCCCGTCGGCTCATCAGGGAGCTGTGAGAAAAGCCAGCTCTCAGATCGCACAGACACACAGATCAGAGGAACACAGAAAATCTAGGGGCGAGGCAAACCCCGCCGCCGGACAAGTTCTCCAGGTGAATTATGATGTCGCTCTCCGAGCCAGGTAGAAACCTTTTGACATGGGCTTAAAATTGAAACAACTTGCTTGCTGTCTTAAAAAAAAAAAAAAGTACGGAGAAAAGGGCTTCTCTGTTGAGCGGGCAGAACAAGCCACCTGCCCATCTTGTCCACAAGCCTCATACTTGGAGAATTAAAATAGTTTTGGTAGAGACCACGAAGTTCTCGGTAAAACTTAAAAACAAAAAAAAGTTAATTATCCCAGTAGTCAATTCCTTCTGTTCCCTGTATTCCCCACGGGGGGGGGGGGGGAACAGCCGCAGGGGAAAAAAGTTGGGATTCCTTCTAAAAACTGTGTTTCTGATGCAACTGCCCACTAGAAAAACACAATCCCAAATTAAAAAAAAAAAAAAAAAACGGAGCGGCGGGCCCGGCGCCATCATCCCGAGGCAACGCGGCCGCCGTTTCCCAGCCACACCCCTGCGGGCCGCCGGGCCTCTTTCCCCCCTGGCTGGACCCAAAGATAAATAAATCACTCCTTGTTTTCCAGACCTGAAATTAGCGGTGACTCACAGAGCACTTTGAACGGCCACGGTCGCCTCGGGAAAGAGGAAAAAAAAAAAAAGTCCAGAGCTTTTCCCTTCACGCGAGGGGCCGACGGGCCGGGCCGGCCAATCAGGGCCGCGCGGCGGGAATCGCACCAAAGTAGGTAAAAAAATGCGGGACGCGGCCCTGCGGCCTCGGCCCGCGACCCCGCTCCCGCGGCCCCGCACCCTCCGCGAGTTCCCCGACCCACGCCCGCCGCAGACCCCGCCCCCAGTAGCGGCGCACACCTGGCCAGGTGGCTACTTCCTTATACGGGCAACGACTGCGCAGTGGGCGGGCATCCTGCGGCGACGGGGGGAGGGGAAGGCCGGCTGGAGACGCCGCTCCCGGGGTCTTCCTTGGCCCGCCCAGCGTCGGCGGGAGCCGGCCCAGGCTCTGCCTCCTAGCCCCCTAGCAGATGGAGGACCCACTCCCAGCCCCGTGAAAACCTGAGCTGCCGAGGGGGAACCCCCCGCCCCTCCGGCCTCAAGCAGGTGAGGCGCCCTCCGCCCCGCTGGGAGTGTCCGCCGGCCATTCGGGCGTGGCGCGCCAGACTGGCCTGGTTGCGTAGCAACGGCGGGCGGTGCCTTACGTGCGCAGGCGCGTTGAGGCTCGAGGCGCGCGTCCGCCCCCTAGAAGGCTCGCGCCGCCGCGTCGGCTCCGTGCTCGGTCTCCCGGTCTCGCTTCCGTGAGGACTACGCTCCGCAGACTCGGCGCCCGTCCGGCTCTCACCCCCGCGTTCCTGCGACCGCCGCGGCGAAGATGGTGAGAGGGAAGGGATCCCGAAGCGTGGGCTGAGGCTGCCGGAGGTGTCGGGGTGGGGGTGGTGGCACGGGTCTCTAGGGGGTAGGAGGCGCGCCGCGGCGCCGGGCCGCGCCCGGGCCTGGGGAGGAACCCGGGCCCCGCTGCAGTGTTCCCGGCGGAAGAGCGTCTCCGGGCCTCCGCCGCCAGTCTGGGCCCCGCGCCCCAGGGCGGCTCCCAGCTGCTGCCAGGCCGCCGCCCCGGGCCGGCGGTTCCTAGCTGGGCGTTGGGACGCCTCAACCGGGGTCGAGCGCCCCAAGCCCCCTCGGTGAGGTCGGGTCTAGGGGTCCGTCGACCGCGGCCTCGGGGGTCCACTAGGGCCTGGGAATCCCGCCGACGGCCCCTTGTGGGCTCCAGCCTACCCCACACCGGCGCGGAGGCGGCCGGAGGCTCATGCGCTTTTGGGCCCGTGGGTTCCGTGCGCCTCGGGACGGGAAAATAAAGGCCTTTATTGAACGACCCTGAGAGGCGGAACGCGAGCTAACGAGCGTGACCCTGGCATGATTAAGAACCGGGTGGCCGTGCAGCCGCTTTGTTCGTCGTATCTGGCAATCAGCTTCCAACAGCAGTCTCGTTGTGCTTGTCAGGCTTGGCAGTATTTGTTTTAACCCTCCCCTGCCCGACCTGCTCGTGTATGGCTAGAAGCTGTTTTTTTTTCTTGTTGTTTTTTACTTTTTTTTTTTTTTTAAGCCTGGCTCGGCCGGAATTTAGCGTGCAAGGTGTGGGCATAGTGCTGGAAAGCCAATTTAACCCGAATTTTTAAAAGTCAGTTAAATTATTCGCGTTCTTATAAACAGGTGCTCATCAGTATATTCTGGATACATGGGCATTTTGCTTATTAACTCACATATTTTTTCCCCTCCCGCTCTGAACTGTCACTCTGAGCTGCTGTAAATAACGCTCTCGGCTGGACAGGCAGGTAGAACATTTTGCCATTTTTCTTCAGTCTGCACACACTGTTACCATTTTTGGTCAATGATTTGCAGGCAGAAGCCTTCGCGGACTTCGCTAGGCTTGTTACATTGTTACCACATCTGTCGGCCTGGAAGCAGTTGGTACCGGTTTATCTGCATATAGAGCCTTCTCACTGAATAACAATTTCGGTTTTCTTGAAGTGCTGCAGCTTTTATGAGGAATCATAAAAGAAAAATAGAGGAATCGGTAGTTTTTTGGTGACTGAAGATATGTAAGAGGGATTTGATACCTAGTTTTTGGTTCTTTGGTTTACCGCTGTAAACTACAGAGGATCAGCATCTGAAACTTTCTGACGTCTTATCCAATGTGTCTATTAGTGTATATCAGAATGCCTTTAATTTTATACTAAAATACTTTTAACCGAAGGGTTTGATTTCTGATCAATTTAAGACCATCCACTCTTGATGAAAGTGTTATTAAGTGGAGCCTACTCTTGTGTTTTCTAGTTTGATGGTCTATTTTTTTTAACCAATATAATTTATTTTTGTGTTTGCAAATAGAATCAGATATTTTAACTTTAGTTAAATGCTTATGTTAAATGCTTGATCTTAAAGATTACATTCTGTTTTGTACATTAAAATGCGGAAGGAAGAGAGGAGAAATTAAAGAGGGATCAACTCCAAATATATTTCAAACTTGTATTCAGTATGGTCAAGACCTGTTTTTGGACGATTGTAAGGAGTAAGAGTTAAAATATAGCCCAGCCGTTTTTAAAGGTTACTTTTTTGGCCTTATGAGCACCGTGTAGCTCCACTCATTCCAGCTGAAATTTTCTTTTACCTGTAAAAACAGTTTGGCTTGGCCAGAATTTAGCCTGCAAGATATTAGAGAATGTTGTGTGCAGCTATCAGAGACTGTTCTGAAGATGGAGAATTCTTTTATTTTATCAGATTCTAGCACTTTCCTTTGTATTTTAAATTGTTTAAATCTGTTGGTTAGACACTTGGTTCCAAGTTGCTTTTGTGTGTGTGTGTGTGTCTATGAATGATTAAATTTTAACTGCTGATGTGTTTGCTCTAAATTAACGGAATCACTTCCTGGTACTCACTAGCTTTTCTAGTTGCACTTGGAATAAAGCAATTTGAAACCAACTGAAAAGATCATCCTGAGCACTTTGAGATTTCATGTTTTAAAACCTCTTACTTTACAGTGCCAAAAACAGATGCACATGGCCCCATGAACCATTTGCACCTCACAAAACTCAGATGTGTGTACTTCATGTGCGGGTTTCCTTACACGTCTGGCCCACTGCAGAGTTGTTAGTGTTACTTTCTCAGTACATCTATTGAGTATAGATTGAGACATCACTTGCAGACTTGCCTACTTTATCTTGTAACCCGGATATGCTTTTGCAGGGTAGCTATCTGGCTACTTCAACTTAGAAGTGTGATGTTGTCCCTGAAACAGAGTTAAGGTCTGTAAGATCATCAGACCTTTAACCATAACCCTAATCCGAACTCTGCACTAACAAACTGATCTAATTGGCTTAGCCTGAATTATCGATGTATTCTACTACTTCGAGATTTTTTGACAATCCAGCAAAATAGGTTGGGATTGTGTTTATTTGTCTAATGTGTTAGAAAATACTGTAAAGGATTAACAGGTGACAAATCATTTTATCTGCACATCAAGCCTTAAAATATGTTAAAATTAATGTTGAGGCATTTGAAGCAGAAAAGTATACAGAGTAACAAATTCTTTTTTCCCAAAAACAAACCAAACAACTGATTCACTACACCGTATTTCTGGTGTTTATGTTATGGCTAAGTATGCATCTTCCTCATCCCATTCCTTTCCCTCCCCAGGGGTAACTGCTCCTGCTCCTCAAAGACATAATGTGCTGACCGGTTAGGGAAATGATTTTCTTCAGGCTGTTGCACTAGGAGAACATTCATTAAAGAGAAACGTTTCAAAGAAAAAGGGGACCAGGGACTGGTAAACCAGGAAGTCTTGAGAAAGGAGGGGATGGCTCTTATGCAGTGGCCAGCGACTGGCTTTCCAGAACACAAAAGAGTGGGTGCACATCCTACCCACACTGCTTTCCAGGCACAAGATCTTAGGTAAAATTCAACATAGTCGCCTGAAATTGATGTTTCATCCTCACTGCCATTTTCATACTTTTAGCTATGCCTAATAAATATATTGCTAGTCTTTGATAATCTGCATTGATGCGTGTTTAAAATTTATGTGAATGTTATGCCTCATATCACTTGCAGCTTTTTTAAAAAAAATTAAACGTGGGGTTTTTGTGGGGATGAAGTTGGTTTTAGCTGTAGTTTTAGTTCTCATATCCCTGCTTGGTGGACAGTCTTATGTTTCTAGTGGTTTGCTTTTTTTGGTCTATTTAAGTTGTTTTTAAAATAGGCAATTTCTGTGTAATTATTCTGAATTACTTCTGGACCTGGTGGATGTGTCTCCCTTGCCATACATGTAGAAGTGGAAGACCTGTGTTTGAGGGCATGTGTGTGTGTTTTCTGCTCTACCGATTTGCTGTACTTTACATTTCATCATCTAGAGCCTGTTTCTCTGTTTCCTTTTACCGCTTCGAACTATGAGACTTCAAAACCTTAAATGACTGTGAAATTGTTTCTCATTATGTTAATTTACATGGTTCTGATTAGTAGCAAGCTGTCCTTTCATATTTTATTGCATCTTATGTTTTTATGTGCATGCCACATCTTGTGAACTTGACTTCAGTTGAGCTTGTTTGCATAGTTGAAGTCATTAAGTAAATTAAGCATTACAAACAATCAAGCAGGAACATGATTGTCAGTGCCAGAACCTCATATTGAAGACTAATATTCCTTTCTTTTTGTACATAAGTTTCTTTCTAGGTCTCAATATTCCTAATTCTAGACACCTGCCATTTTCAGGCTCCTGATATGGTAGACTCTGGAGTTGCTCAAGACAGGGCTCCTTCTTTGCCAAGAGCCCAAGAGGTTAACATCTTCCCCTTTTCAAACTTTTACTCTTTATTTTTCCTAGGCATTTTATATAGCCAAAATGTTAAAAACAGTCAAGTATAGGTACATATGAGGACTCTAGTTTCCACTCAAATATGATGTGAACTAAAACGTCTCTAAAAGTAGTCTTTTTAAAAAAAGTCATGCAAACAATAACCATGACATTTTCATAAATAGTTGTTTTAAATCAAAATTCTGTTTAACTTAGTAAACAGGGAGACTCCAAATACTTGGGTGTTATGTTAATGTAACTTTACAATGTATGTTCTTTCACTAGTAATTAAATACTTTGAGGTGAAGCACATCGTACTTGAAATTTGAAAAATGCATTTAAATTCAGTTTTTCAAATTTCAACATTGTTTTTATCAGCAGGTAATTAGATTTTTTATTGTACTGTTTGTATACATAAACCGCAAAGAAGAATAAGAAAAGTAGAAGATTATTAAAGTATCTTGAACTTTCTTTGTGGCATAATATTCTTTTCTGGATTGTGTGTCAAAGCTACACTCTGAAAAGATTTACATTTAGGGACCACACTGTGGCCTAATGGATAAAGCCACCACCTGTAGTGTTGGCATCCCATATGGGCGCTGGTTTGAGTCCCGGCCGCTCCACTTCTGATCCAGCTCTCTGCTATGGTCTGGGAAAGCAGTAGAAGATGGCTCAAGTCCTTGGGCCCCTGCTTCGGCCTGGCTCCAGATTGGCCCAGCCCTAGCCATTGTGACGATTTGAGGAGTGAACCAGCAGATGGAAGATCTGTCTTTGCCTCTGCAAATCTTTAAAAAAACAAAAAAGACTTAAATTTAACACTTCAGAAATATTTTAATTATAATTTTTCTTCCTTGACTCAATGTTGTGATATGTGAGAATTCTTTACCTGAAGTTGTGCTTCTGTGCTCTGATTTTCCTTGAAATTATTTAGGGAAAAGTATGACTTTAGAAAAATAAACATCAAGTTCATTCATCTCAGTGATAACTTTGGACATATTTATTTATTTTTTAAAGATTTTATTTATTTATTTGAG